TGGTACTGGTGATCCTCAGCAATTCTAAACCCTGTTCGATTGTCCCTCGTCATAAACTGTGGATGAAAAGTTGTGGGTAACTTCACACTAATTATATTCCAGGCCATACAGTACAGCAGCAATGTGACTGCAAATGGCCGGCGGCTCGGGTGTACCTTTCACAGCTGTCCTGTGTGTAAACGCTGTAAATCCAAAGTTATAAATGGAATCAAATGTAAAAACTGTTCAAATATGTTCCACATGAGTTGTGCAAAACATTGTGTGAATGTGAAGTTCACAGATGACAATAGTGAAGTTATGTTTTTCAGAAAAAGGCTGTAAGAATAATCTCACAGGCCAAGCAGAGTGATTCCTGCAGATCCCTTTTCGCGACATTGAAAATTTTGACTTTGCCATCTATATTTATATATCATACACTCTTAGAAATACATAAAAATAAAAGCAATCTCGAAATTAATGCTAATGTCCATGATCATAATACTAGGAGCCGCCTACTCATAAGAAGAGATTCAGATTGGACAAATCAAGAAAAAATTCTATGAACCTTGACCGACATAATATCTTGCCTAGATATAATGCCAATGATCTAGTGCTTGTATTACCTTTTCTAATGATATCAACTTTGATCCTGCCATAGAAGGTGATGAACTTATAAATATTATTCAGAAAATCAAAGATAGTGGCGATGAAGCAGCACTAATGTGTGTGGTTGAGCCCTTTGCTTCTGAAATCAATAAGAGCATTTTTAGAACTGTAATACCAAGTGTCCTATAGAGATTTATGTGTTATAGCACTTCAAATCAATGAAAAATTGAGTAGTGAACAATGTTGAAATATTTTATTAGCCACATTAAAACAAAATAAATCGAAGGAATGGTTCAATCAGAGAGCTGGACGTATTACTGCTTCAAATTTCAAGAGGGCCTGCAAAACTTCTATTTCAAAACCTTCATTATCCCATATGAAAACTATTTGTTATCCTTCGGAATGTCAATTCAAATCAAAGGTTACAGAAGGGGAATTGCACGATGAAGATGATGCATTAGAAGCCTACAAACTTGAACAAATGGAGAGTCATTCGAATGTAACAGTAGAAAAAGCTGGATTTTACATTGATTCTAGTGACAACTACCTTGGGGCTTCTCCAGATGCTATGCTATCCTGTGACTGCTGTGGCTACAAAATAAACCAATACCTCGATGAAATTAAACAAACTATAATGTTACTGTACCTCAGATATATCTTCTATCATGTATTTCCTTCTTTTCCTTGATCTTTCTTCTCTGACAGAATTGATATGACCTTTTTTACGAACCACTTCATCATTTCCATAGCCCATTGCCAAAGATGGAACCCAGTCAGGACTATTTTCTAGTTGTACAGAAAAGGATAGTACGATACCTGTTTCAAAACACATGTATTGTATTGGTATAGGCACCATACAGGCATGGAAACTCTATCTCTTATTATTACTCTGAGATAGCAACCGTTTTTCATGAACGTCGCGCAATGTTTTGTATACACAATCTGCGCACCAATACCTCGGCGCACTCCCTCTTCTTAGACCTCTATTGATAGGTATTTTTTTTTTCAAATGGGATCTGATTTTTTGAAGAGTTTTGAATAAGGCATAGGTTTTAAAATATCCAAATAAACATTTAATGTTATGAAAAAATTATTTACGTTGATACGGGCGCACGGATCCCTATTTCCAGCGTTAAATTAAAATTATGAATAATGGATGTACCTTTCCGGGAGTTGAGACTTTTTATAGTATATTTTCTCATCAATTCTTAATGATTGTTTCAATGTTACTAACAAAAAAACGGAATACTTTATTTTTCCTCGATTATTTTGTTTACATTGTTTACAACAATCATAATTTTTTATCCACTGTAAAATCCTTCACGTACATTTTTGTAGAGGTCATTCAGAATCGAATGAGTTATTGCTATTAAATACATACATATATGTATGTCTGTATACGTCCTGACGGTGAACCTGCCTGAATTGATTTTGTATTTACTTTATCCGTCTTCATTATAAGAATTTGTTGAATAAAATGAGTAAAATATACACTTGTAATAATACTTTTCTACTCAGTATAATAATCTTTTTTTTCTTCATGTCAGAACAAAGAACTGTCTTTTTGGGAACATAATTTGAAAAGTACCCTTCCTAATCAAAATTTTTTCTTCATATTTTGCTTTTCCACTAATGTAATTGTGCCAAGACATTTTGCAATCCAATTCGACATTATTATTCGATGTTGTGAGCAGTGTCCTGTCCCCTGGCAATGGTACGTATTATTCTGGCACATTCACCTTCTTCACCATCTATTGGAAACTCAATAAGTACAAGAGTCTTCCTTGTTATACTTTGATAACTGATAAATCTCGTCCTGTATAAATAATATTGAAAACTTTAACCAGGGCTTACATTTTTCACAACAATTCAGTATATGAAACCATAAATGTTAGTAAAAAATAATGACATTTTGCATCCCATCTATATAATAACTCTGGATGGCCTATTATTTTGACAGTTATGACGAGATCCATGAATGCCAACAATGAAATATAAACCACTTATTCCTTATCGATTATGATCACACATGACAAAAGAACAGACAATTGGTGTTGGTTGGCTACCCAATTTCTCTGATTAATATAACAAATATAAAAAACAATTTTAGTACTATTTTCAAAATTTTCACGTTTTCATTAGTATGTTGAGTATACCGTTACTGCTGAACGTTGAAGTGTTCCTAATCGTAAAACACCAAGTCAAGTGAAATGCTGTTTTTTTTTGAAAGATTTCTAAATATTATGAATCAAGGGAAGGTGTTAGATAATGAAGAATACCTAATGTCTTGATGTTGTTTTTATATGTACCCATATAACAGCTGTTCAAAAAAGTTTCGAAAAGGTTGGAGCTATATTTAATAGATATTTTAACAAAAAAAAAAATCAAATTATAACCTTTTTTATGCAATATATTTCTCACCTTGTTTGGTAGGCCCCCTTTCTTGATTTTGGTCTTTCCCAGACAGTCTGGTGGAAAATGCTGTGAACATATGGAACTAGTAGGAGGTAAAACCTTTTCAATGGATAATTCCCACATCCGACGTTTCTTTCTATCCTGAACAATTAAATTTGCAATTCAATATCCGAAGCAACATTTGAAATAATTCAGTTCCGAAAAATTATTGTTTCATGAATAAAAACATCTCATGAGAGCCTATATAATGTTGGAAAACTATAAGTGTTGTTCAGGGAAGCTAATGATTGAGAAAAAAATGTAAATGTAAGGTTGTTCGATTGATGACCTATTTATTTTGTAGAAATTCATATTGGATGTAGGATAAAGAAAGTAATTTTTATCTAATTTCTTCCAAGTTTTATTTGTTACGACCGAAATTGGTCGTAACAAAACTCAATCATTCATTAATAATATGGAGATAACGTGTAATGAAAATTCTAGGAGAAATGACATATTACCAGAAACATCTCTATATTACATTATACTCTACCAACGAGCACCAACATTAATAGCCTTAGATGACTTTCATCGATGTTTTCAGTTGAAACTTCTACTGAATACTGCTGATACTACAATCACAAGTATAATACTAAAAGAACCAGTAGTTTCACCTTTGTCATAACCTTTGATGTTTCTGTCTCACCGTTTTATTTTTTAGGACTACTACTCAACCATAATTATCAGCAACGAGTGGATTTGGCAGCGTTGGACGTTTCATATACTGCTCAACAAGTGAATAATATATAAAAACTGCTCAACAGTAAAACAAATTACATGGAAAGTTAAATATGTTTTGGAGTAATGTAGAATGTTATGAGAAGCTTTGAATTTTTTATTGGAATTGTTACACGTTTTTACTCGTTCCTTGTCTGAACTGCATAAAAATTCAATATTTTTGCATACTGTATGAATAATATAAAACACATAAAATCTATCAAATTTTGGGAAGCATGTCAGAGAGTTTCAAAAAAACAAAAATAATTGGGATGCTTGCCCAACCCAGCCGGTCCTGATGAGATGCAACAACATTGGAACATACATGTATGCAGGTGGTTATTCTCAACTAAATAAAGAATAATACTTATTACTTTTTCACAACTGCAAAAATGTTCTTCTTGAGGAACATTGCTCTTTCGATTTTCGTTGAAGGACTCTTATTTTATTTCTCAAGTGAACCTTACATGGTAAATTCTTAGATAATGATGTTGATGTCTGGGTACTCACATCTGTAATAGAAATACTAATTATAATAAACTGACAACCAATTGTATAAACATAACCAAGCATTAATGAATCAATGATGTTTTCCTGATTTCATATTTTTGAAGTTCAAATTAAACAAAACATATTCTTGTGTAACTTAAAAAAACTAATCCAGTTTTCAAAAAAAGCAAGTTTCTTATTTTTCAGCAGGCAGATAACCACAACAAATTATATAGCTTAAAAAATAGAAATACCTTCTAAATAAGGTTCGGCAAAGCTTGTACTAGGAACAGAATCCAACTCAGGTGATAATTGCATACAATCTCCAGTAAAAGGAATACATATGTGCCTACTTTTAATATATTCATATGTAGACTAAATACTAAATTTACATTATATTTTGTGATGAGTCCAATAAGTTATACATTCTGTACTCCCTTTTGTTATAACTTCAGTGACAAATGTAGTTCTATTATATTCATATCATTTGTGAATATACACTATACACAATTAGTAGTCATTGGACATTCAAAAACATCATGATTCTCAATAACTCATGAATAACTTGACTCTTCCTAAGTGAAAGATAAAAGTTGGGAACTTTCCAAGTCAAGTTAAAAACTTGTCTGAATGCCCTCATTGAATACCGGTGAATTACTTTTCTATGTAATAAGTTGAACTATTCATCAGTTCAGTTGGCTTGTTTGAATTCGCCTTGACAATCAAACAGGAACAACAAAACTTAGCATACCGATGTTCAATGAATGTCTATACTATAATTCCAAAATATTAGGCACTGAATTCTCAGAAATGACTGACGTTTTGGCCTTAATCTGTCTCTTGAAGTGGGGTATGGAAATTATACCAAACAGATGAGGAATCTATAATTTCATCAGCAGAGGCTTCGTACTGAATTGACTAGCACGAGATAAGTCTTAAGAGCGGTTCGCACGTTGCAGTTGCCTGAACAACTTATTACTTCTCAATAGCATATTTAGCTTCTACCTCAAATTCTTTATGGCTTATGTAGTCTCCACATATTATTTTTATATTTCAATAATGCATGTAATTCTGATGTGGAAAAAATTATTATTATATTTACCAGAAGATGCTCCACTCTCTCCACTGGAATGTTTTGAATATTCGAATATGGTTGGAACAGCATCCCTCTTCAGTCTATTTTTTTGCATGCTTGAAAACATTCGTTCTTCGAAGTGGGCACTACAGACTCTGAACCGTTTATAACATTGTTCTGAATTATAGGAATCCAATTTCACTAATTGTAGTTTTACTTTCCACTTGTTACACCTCAAAAATTTATAGGTTATATAGGTTTCAATTTTTTAGTGAAAATGTAGTGAATAGCTATGAACATCTATTTATATTGAACTCACCTATCTTCATCTTTGGGAAATTTAAAATAGCTGTATTGAGGATTTTTCTTGGAATTGTTAGAACAAGCTACACAATAATCAGATGCCCTTTTGGGATGTCTAAACAAATTGTTAGCCATTATTGAGGCTAAAAATGATAAAACGAAGCAGCAATAAAATCAATAATCAAATATACTGTGAAAGCTTAATATTTTTCATTCAAATTGTTCCACGTTTTCACTCGCTCCTTATCCGGTTGGTTCACATTTTGCAATTGATTTGAAAATAAAATACCGAGGAGCTAAAGGGACTTGCAACTTCAAACAAAGCTCATAACTGTATAAAATGAAATATTTTTGCATACTGTATGAATAATATAAAACGTATAAAATCGAACAAAGTTCAGAAAGCGTGTCAGAGTTTCTAACGAATGAAAAGAATTGATTTGCTTGTCCAACCCAGCCGGTCCTCTTAAGATTCAACAACATTGAAACATACATGTACGCAGGTAGTTATTCTTAACTGAATTAAGAATAATACTTATTACTTTTTTACAAGTAGGTACCACTGCAAGTGTTCTTGAAGAACATTGCACATTGTACCAGAGTTGCCTGCATGTGGTCATCCTGCCCGTATCGAAACAAAATTATGTTAGTTGATTTTAGCTAGGATGCCCTTGTAATATTCCTGTTTTGTAAGTAACACTGCACAAGGATTTTTGAATGCGTGATGAGAGCGTTGCGAAAAGTGTGACAGTCCCAGGCGAACGGAAGTTGAGAGGGAGGTATAAGTTAGTGAAAACAGAGAGTTACGTTTCGTATATTACTGTAGGGGCAAGAGAGAGAGAGAGAGGCGTGAGCACACATTTACGGTTGAATAGGCTCTCAAGAATTAGGAGAAAACTATCATACGTTGCCACTAATTTGAGCAGAAGATTTAATTGTTAATCTCGCGTCCGGAGATGGATACCTCTTGGTAAACTTTCCACAAAATAAATTAGAACTACAAATGAATAATAACCGAAATGAGCCTATCACAAGACATGGAACAAAGTAAAGCCATTGTATGGCGCATTGTATGAAGCCATTGTATGGCGAAACACGTGTTGTTTTTGTAAAACAGTTTAGTAAAAATCTTACAAATATGTGTTTTTTGAATACATGGAACAACAATAGATGCAGGTTTCTCTAGATATATTTTTAATTTTCATACAATTTTGTGTTGTGTGGAAATTTGTTTTGTTGCAATGATTTTCATTTTTTAATGTATCTAATATGTCTGACTATTTTGAAAACCATCAGACATATTACATACATATGACAAAATAAAAAACATTGCAAGTCCCTTCAGCTCCTCGGTAACTTATTCTCAAACCCTTTACAAAATTTGAACCAAACAGACAAGGAGTGAATAAAAATATAGAACAATTTGAATAAAAAACTCAAAGCGTTTCATAATACATTACTACAAAATATCCATTTAATTTTCCATGAATGTTGTTTTACGGTCTAACTGATACAAAACCTATTTCAAATGAAAACATTAAAATTCCAAGGTTGTCAACATTCACTGAACGTGTTCTCATTTTGAATAATTATTCTGATGTACGAAATAAAATCCAATATCAAATAAATCAGAACATGGAATATTTTTAACCAACACAAAACTTCTCTTTATCATGATTTCACTATTCCACAAGCGAAACGTCGCCAGTCTGTAGTCCAAAAGCGGTAAATTACATGAAAAATTTTAGAGATGAAACCGTTGCCAATCATCAAGGCAATTCATAGCGCATCCAAAAACTATTTGCTACGATTCGATTTTTATAACTTTTGTAATTTTTATCGGCGCGTTTTCGGACCTTTCCTTAAACTTTCTAGGCAAAAATACGAATCGGATGACACCTTGGTCGTAATTTTTGGACAGGGCTGTCCATGTACATGTGAACTGGACTATTACGTTGGTATAAAAAGATATTTATTCATATTTAGTAATCTTAGAAAAAATTGCCGAAGGTATAAAATATTGTGGCCATTACAGGGCAAAGTCTGAAAAAAAATTAGAAAAATATTCAGGTATAGACAATGAACAAAAAAAAACTAAACGAGTGCTGCGAAAAGAGTGTAAGTTTTGTATCAGAATTAAAAAAAAATAACTGCCACAATGTTTGTTTGTGATTCTTGCGAAGGGGTTCCCGGTTTTTGTGTAGCGTTTCTTCGAATACCATAGCCAACTACAGCACCTATAGGTGTAACTGGCATCTTATTTGAAGTTTGCCTTAGAGTTGCCTACTACACCCTTGGGTGTATTGTTCTTTCAATTTATTCATAAACAAAATAAATATAGTCCAATAAAACTGTCTTTTAATAAAATTATGCCCACTATAGATTATATAAGATAGTGGCACTGGTACAAAAATTTTAAATATAGGTAGGCATTGAACGTGTTGAGTATGAAGTTTCGTGGAATTTTATCTCATCTTCATTATGCTGAATGATCGTAGTGACTGCAAAACTACACCTATGTTGGGTAAATTCTGCCAGACCTGCCATCAAATTACAAATATTCAGTTGTTTAGTAAATGATGAAAGGAACATTTGCCTAAAAAACTGATTCATCAAGTTTTTATTTGTTTGTTACCTCTCTTGAGGGACAGATCAGACGTAATTTCATTCGAAATTACTTTTGACAAAAACTTTTGACTTACTGATTTTTTCAGGTGCGGGAAGTAAAAGGTGTTATTATGGAATATCATATACATTTCTGGTTGGGTTCCCAAACCAACCCAGATAGGTCAGGCGTGGCAGCCTACAAAACAGTGGAATTAGATAATTTTTTGAATAGTTGTGCCAGCCAACATCGGGAAAGTGAGGGCAATGAAAGTTCCAGATTCCTCAGCTACTTCAAAAATGGTATAAAGTGAGTACTCAGGTATTTTTTCTAATTGAAAACTGAAAATTGTGTAAATCATACGCAGGAGTAAATTCGTTCAGAGATAAGGTTATCACAAGATGACAATATACTCAGTTTTTGAATTAATTTTTAATGAAAAACATGTCAACAACAATATATCCCTCTGAATTGTAACGCCAGCTTGCTTATAGTGAATCAGGTATACGAGTAATTCTATGCTACATGTTCCAGTTTTACCCCTCAGCAAACCTTCCTCCCCCCTTCTCACTCTACATTTTCTTCCCAAAATAATTCCCACTTGTTTGAGAAAATGGTTATAGGTACTTACGTTGGGTTTATAGGTTTATTTTTACATATCGGGTGACAACGAAATAATTGCACACGATGCCATTCAAATGATTACTAGGTAATATATTTTTTTGGCCATTTGATTGGATTTGAAATTCTCTTTTCAAAGATATAACACATGTGGCCCTTTCCATTCAAAATGGTGGCGTAAGAGGCTTTTTCTCCAAATTCAATATGGCGACACTATGACGTCATTAAAAGAAATACTGTCAAACAATTCGACGTAAAGAGTCACAAACGACGAAATTTGACCAGTTTTTGATTAGGAATTGAAAAATTTTCATTAATCGATGTATTTTTTCTTAATAAAACATTAATAAATATTTTACATCATTTATCTCGAAAATCTTAATGGACATGATATTTTTTGCAACGTGTTTTCAGTTGTTATCCCGACCAAATGAAATAAATTTCAGCCATTCATAAATGGAATGGCAGAGGTGCCAGATGGTTTTACTTCAGCTTTCTGGGCGGCATTAGCTGGGTTAGCTGTTGTTTTTCCGTCGGGTATCTGCCACATGTCCGTACAAAATCGTAGGTCTCACATGAGAGGCGAAAGTTTGGAATTTTTACCAGAACTAGGGGATATCTATGTTCCTCTCAGGAATATATTTATACAACTTACTCAATGACATACTCAAGTTCAGGTGAAAACACCTTACCCTTGCCTCTCATGTGAACTGTGAACCTACAACTTTGTAGGTACATGTGTCAGATGCACGACGAAAAAACAACCCAGCTAATGCCGCGCAGATACCTGAAGTGAAACTATAAGGAGCTGTGCAACGTCTTCCTTTTGGAAGATTCGTCGCAAGTAACTTCATATACATGAAAAGCAGAAATTAATTTCATTTGGTTGGGACAACTAGTTAGTATGGGAGGGTCATTTCAGACGCCTAAGTATATACACACATGTATAGATGGTGTTTCAAATTCGATCCTCACCATTGGGATCTCGAAAATTTTGAGAGATAAGAAGATGGTTAAATTGTGGCAAAGTTGCGCGTTTACCTGACTATATGCCCTTGAGAAAATTCTGAAATTCCGAGTATATCCGGAGATATCCGCAAAAAAGAAATTTCGGAAAATGGTTTTTATTTTTTCTGGCTTTATTTTGCGAAGGATTCGAGAATAGATTGCACTTTCACATTGCTATTTTTTCCCTGCCATCCCTGTTTTCAGATTTGCTATCCGACGTTTCGTCTTCCGACCACCATCATCAACTTTATTTTTTCCTATGGGCGCTACATAGGATTCTTTCTGTTTTGAATAGAATCAGATTTTACCTTTTCAATGATGTACCATACGTTATCATTCTTGCACTCATAACGCCTGTTAGTGTATTTTTGCCCCTTTTAAGTTTTGTACTATATAAGCCTAACATGTTTTTTGTAAAAAAATATCGTACCTACCGAAGAAAAAGTTCGATGGAAATTTGTCTTGAATTTAATTAAAAAAAAATACAGGTCATTTTTTTTACAGGATAATAAAACATGAATTGATTGAAAATGGACAGTGTGTTAGAGTGTACAGAGTTAGAGGAAAAAGAGTTCCTGTTCTTAAAGAAATGTCAAAGGTTTCTTGGGATTATTTCACTAGCTCTGACATATTTTTGATACTCACTTTGAAAAATATTTTCATTTGGACAGGACGAGCTAGCGATGCAGGAGAGAAGTTACATGCTGTAAAAGTGAGTATCAGAAAATGTAAATAATACTTTTAAAATTGGAGGGCTGGATATTGGACTTCATCATGATAATAATAATAAAACTTGCATTTTCCTTAAAGAAAATATATACAATAATGTGTTCAAAACACCAAATTACATAGTATATCTTACTGTATTTACACAAAACAGTCAAGGCATAAAATAATATATTTATGAACACATTTCATACTGAAAAAGAGTATACACTGGTCTTTTTATGTCTGTATTTTTTATTCTAATGTAAGTTCATCTCAAGAATTTCCATGTTGAAAATTGTATAGATGTATCTGTATTTACTCTGTGCAATTGTTGTTTATTTCATCTTATGATGTAAAATATTTTGGCATAGTATCGGCAATTATATAACAAAATCCATCTATATACTAAGTAATTTTTTTGGTTCAACAGTGCCTCATTGCAAAAAGATCTGTGACTAATTTATCTAATCCCTAAAACTATCATTCTCCAACGATCGATAGACACTAGAATTCATTGGTTATACAGAATTGAAATAAGCATTCATCTACTACATTTTGCGTTTATCTTTGAATTATTTAGATCATTAGAGCTTAAGTTAACTTTCTTTCTATTGCAGATAGCTGTTGACATGAAAGAAGAGCACAAAATTAATAATATAATTTTTGTTGATGATGGCTACGAAAAAACTTTACAAGATGATATCAAGAAAGAATTGAGCAAATATCTGCCTCTAGAGAAAAGATTAATTCTACCAGAAATCCGGGAGGGTGATGTAAATGGAAATTATCAAAGATCTTTAATGAAATTGTACAAGTGCTCTGAAAATAATGGAAAGTACAGGGTGGTCGAGATCAAGAGTGGACCATTCCAACAAAATGATTTGAATCAACAGGTGAGTAAATATGTTTATCTGTAAGGAGAGTCATTGAATGTTATAGACATTTTATTTATTCTCTGCCAATGGAAAATGATTGAAACATATTTGAAACACACCGAAAGAAAATATTAGGATATTAAAATGTTACCATTAGTGACGAGTACTGTTTATTGATCAGGCATAATTAATGAACAAAACTCTTTTGTGTCTTTGGTAGATGCCAGGAATTGGTCTTTCATTAAGGGCTTTCTATCTTTAAATTTAAATAAAACAAAGTGTGTGAGATATCGAAATTTTTGATACGTTTGACCTATTGACCTATTGATGCCATTACGTGCGGAATATAACATCGTTCAAATGTCCGCCACGGCTTCTTTGGATGGAGCGCATTCGAAACGTCAAATTTTCCATGATTCTGGTGCATAAATCAGGCTGAATTTGACCGATGGTATGGGTTATGTTACTTTGAGAACTGCTGTGGTTTGTGGCTTATTTGCATACACCTGCAACTTAAAAAAACCCACAAGAAAAAGTCTAACGGGGTCAAATCGCACGATCTCGGTGGCCAGTTCATATCATCTTCACATGAGATGACCATGCCCTCAAATCGCTCGTGGTAAAGATCCACATGAGCTGTGTAGCACATATCACCGTCCTGTTGAAACCACATGAGCTGTGTGACACATATCACCGTCCTGTTGAAACCACATTTTGTTGGTGCCCAGATCATCCCGTTCAGGTCAAAAGAAGTTGGTAATTATCGACCTATAGTGCTCGCCGTTGACAGTGATGACCTGGCCAACATCGTTCTCTAAGAAATATGAACCGATGACGCCGCCAACCCAAAATCCACACCAAACAGTGACTTTTTCTGGATGCATTGGACGGTCTTGGATCTCATGTGGAGTGGTATTGTCCCAAATTTGACAATTTTGTTTGTTCACGTACTAATTCATCCAGAAACGGCCTCATCGCTACACTTCTTGAATCAGTTGAATTTTTTACGGGTGCTCGGATTTTCTAATGCACACTCTCATAGACAACGGCGATGTTTTCGGCAAATCTTGCGTTTTGTCGACGTACGAGTGTTAGTCGATCGTTTACTGAACCAGTGGACTCAAATTTATCCACCACGTTGCGAATAAACCTCTCGGTAGGACGATTATGGCGACGGTGGGCGGAGCGCGCGGTATGTTGCCCGAACATAACACCCATTTTGATAAAATAATTTTATTATTTGACGTGCTGTTGAATGCTATATCCGTCCATAGTGATTTGGCAATACAGACTGAATAAATGACACCTAATTTAACAGATGTAGCTTCAACAAGATGGCCGTTATCAATTTTCAAAGGTCGGAAGCCCCTTTTGGAAGACCCTATATTTGTGAAAACTGTATATCTTGAATTTCAATGACATTGAAACTATCTCAGGATGTCTTCATTGTGGATCACGAAACTAACGGCATCTGGGTGTGGGTTGGTAGAAAGGCCAGCGATAAGGAGAGAAATGAAGCCCTTAGAAATGCTCGAGGTTTTGTCAAGAAGAAAAAATATCCTAGTAACACCAGGGTGACAAGAGTAATCGACGGTCACGAGCCAGTTGAGTTCAAGATGTTGTTTGCTTCATGGAGAGACGACACCAAAGGTGAGGCCAGCAGAAGAGTGATCTCAAAAAATGATTTTGAGAAGTTCATCTTCTTATATACTGCAGATGTATATTGGATTGATATTGAATGTTATATTTTATTTTTCATAACATAACCAAAAATTAATTTCAACTTTTGTGGTCTACAATCAATGAAGAATTTAAAATATAATTTAATTATTCAAAAAATACAATATTTTGGGTAAATATGTAGTTAGAAATTAAATCAAGACCCCACAAATAATATTTTATAATATTGAAATACCCTCAAATCAAACCCCATTTTCCTCAAATCATCTGAAGATATCATAATTGTCATTGCTTTCTTGTCAATCTTGTATTTCATATTCTATTCCTCAATTGTGATTTCCTGATTCCAAGAAAATCCATTTGAATGATCACTTTGATCCAGATGAATGAAATGTATGAATGGAAAATATTTTACAGTATGATAGATTTCATCAACAAAATTATATCAACCTTTTTCTTAAGTTTCTTAAACAAACTTTTTTTTTCTTTTCTCTGTTAGTTTCACTACGACCAAAATTTTGCCTGGTGGTGGAATGATTATCATTTCACTATAATGAAAGTCACAAAATAAACTGTATCAATTAGTTGGAATGATTATCTTTAATCAATTACTTACAATACAATAGAAAAATGATCCAATTTAAAAATTAAGATCATATTTTTCCAAGGGATGGACATTTTGTTACTGGATATTGAAAACCACAATTATTAACTTTTGAATATTATTTCAACTTGTATATTTCAAATATGAATTATAGAAAAAACATACTGTTGTTGATTTTTTAATTTGTCTTGAGTATTTTCGAATGGTGCTGCTAACAATTTCTCTCATAAGCTGTCACCTAACAATCCATAAATGTTAACATGATTGACTAGGTATTCTCTTAGATCACAAGTTCATAATGTAAAAATTAATTTTTTAAGCAAAATAGCCATCAAATTCGTTCAAAAAGCTGTCGAAATTCTAGTTTTCTGCTTTCTTCAATTGCAATGAGTTGAATCACCCAAGAGGGTTAACGATGGCACACATAGTTTTATCATTTTTTTCACTACTTTTGTTGCTTCTAAATAATTCACAAACCTTCGCTTCCAAACCCATACAGCATCAGATATTTTAGATATATATTTTTCACATCTGAATGTCTCAAGACGTTCGATATTTTTGATGTACCCAGTAAAACACATCTTATATATATATCTTTTTTGTGTTAGATTTGTGTATATTTTTAATTTGCTATGTTAAACTATGTGTAGCATATAATAGTTATAAGACAAATTTCCTTCCAAATATAACAGAAATATACACTTAAATTTTTATACATGTAACTTCATCATGGTCAGGTTGGATATTTCAAACGCACTCTGGTCTTACTCAAAACAGTTCAAGCGTTTGCGCCTACCCAAGTCGTTTTTTCAAGTACTTACTGTCACAGAAATTTTTTTGTGATCGTGTCTCCTGTTAGTTGTCTCGATATTCTGTTATGTGGTTAGTGTTTACTCTTCTGTACTGCTTAGTTTCTCATAGGCGTTATTAAAATATAATTGTAACTTGAATCAACTAAAAACTTTTGATTGACGGACAAAAGCATAATGCAAATAAATCTTTTTAAAGTTACTTGAACATAAGTTAGCTACATTAAAAATCTTCTAAAAAATTACAAATAGTTTTTTCCTGTAAAATTTCTTGAAGAGGCGTCTCAAATATAGCAGTTTAAGATATCTTCAAGAATTCAAAAGATATCTCAAGACATCTTCTTGAAGATGTCTTTATTTGTAACAAAATGATATCTTTAAGACTTCTTAAGATATCGTTCTGGAATGAACACCTATTTCTAATCCCATAACAAGCATCAAAGCAGAATTCAAATAGAGTTTATGAAAAATGGGAATAATTGTGAAAGGGATGTGTTTTGATCATTTTATGATGCAGAAAAGCTTTGAAAAAGATGTAAATTCTTGGAAAAAAGTAAAGTGAAATGTGTTGATTTGGATTCCCATTATATGGGTCATAATACTGAAAAGTCCATTTTTAACCAAACCCTGGAGGATTGTTTAAAAATATAGAAGTATCTTGCTATGGGATGATTTGTAGTTAGATGCCTGTACAATGGTGTAGCAACTCATATGTGTAGAATTGGAGACCAATATGACTAACTTGCTTTCAGTAAGCTTTTTAAAAATGCTATATTCCGTTAGTATCACTGTTCATGTTAGGGTACAGTGTTGTGTATTCTACAGCATAATGATGTAAGTTGAGAGGTAGGTGTAAATTGTGATGACCCTGACGTAAAATATCATTTTAAATTATATTAACTTATATTATTATCATATGTAAATGCATGAAAGTTTGCCAACTTCTTTGAATTACTTTTTTCAATATATAATAATCTAGCATTATCATCAAGTCCTTGTTTTTCAGTCGGAACAAATTTAATTTTTATGTGAATATTGGAATGGAAATATTGATATTAGGGTGAGTAAACACGTTAGCTTTACTATGATATTCAGTGCGTTTTGTTCACAATAATCTATTCCAGATCTGTCCGTCCTACTGAAAGTTATTTGCTGTCTCTACTCAATTAAAATATGTTGAGCAGAAACAGCAAATAACTTTTGGCGAAAATGACTCAATCTGCAGTAAGATTAGTGAGAACAAAACGCACACATTATCATCAAATACTCATTGGCCAATAGTGAGTCCAAAATTACATTTCATTTTTTGAGAAATTTTAAATAGATACCTTTTATTCCTGTATTTCGATTTAGTAACTTAAATTACCCTGACATTAAAATTGAAGTGAACATTTTTCTTTTATGTCTATTGCTATTTTGTTTATGATTTATATTGTTTCTTGAGTAATTTACAAATTATCCTTACTTTAGGTACCACATGTAATGTAATACTTGAATAATCACTTTTGGAATACCCATACAAGAAACAATGTCGCCTCATTACACCCAGTACTCAATAAACTAGGCTATCCAAATAAGGAACAGCTCCCTAATCGAATTTATTAATTACCACCAGCAAAGATAGTTTTTCAAATTTGACACAATCATAATACATCAAGGAACTGAAGGTAGTTTTTGTCGCAGTTGAAAGCTTCTAGCTATCTACTCACGTATTTGTTTTTCATATGATCAATTGGCGACTAAAATATGTGAATAGAAATATTACCATCTTGCGGCAACGTCAGAACTACCCTAGATCCAGATCTACCAGTCTATAGATACATCTTATAGTTACCTTAGGTACTGCATAAAGGTGAATATTCTGGTCTAATTTAGATTGTCCACACAAAATACAAAATTTGGCCATTTCGCAAAAGTATCTCAACAACACGAACGCTAACCTTTACCATTTGACACTACCTTCTTCTTCTTTTTTTTTTATTGTTTTTGCTTCTCTTCGGCGCAGTAGACCAGTCTCCTCCTATTGCATGTCATTTATTTCTTTTGTATTATATCCCGTATCTCCCATTCTGTTATTATTATTATTCTTATTTCATATAGTTCGAGCATAAGATCATTTTGCTTTTTGTATATTTTCTTTATATACTTCCTTACGTTGTTCAACTGAAATTTGGTTATTAATTATATATCTCTTTGGTGAAGATGGAAATTCATGTGTATTTTGATCAGATACATGGAATATTTTTCTTTGGAAATAATTTGGCTGCTTCGAAAAAAAAAATTTCAAAAGACCTCGGTTACTTTGGCAATAAAGTTGAGCAATATTTCGTATTTTCTATTCTCTTTCCCGAAACAGTGAAAAATGTATTTTGAAGGCATCATGAATATTTGAAATGACGGAAATTATAGAAAATAGTGAAAACTAAATGAAAAATCCGAGCAGGTGGCGGTATACTTCTGTCAACAATTTATTTGTGCGAGCTAAGGACTAACGAGGTCTTACCTTTTAACGTGTGATTCCTAACACGTTAAAAGCTAACACATGTTTAAACTAACTAATCCGAATCCAATTTAAAATTAGGATTTTAAGGTTTATAACTTCCACAGAAAATATTCTCGTTTTGAATCATTCTGTTGTACGAGATAAAATACGAATACAATATCAGAACTTGAAATATTTCTGGTGAAGTGGTAATATAAGTTACAACAAAATTTCTCTTTACAATGATTTCACAAGCGAAAAGTCAGTCTAATAGCGGTAAATTACATGAAAAATTTTAGACCAGTGCTGCCAACGTGATGACCTGAAACAAAATTCCGCTACACTACTTCATATTCCGTTACGCTTGTATATCTACGCAAATCAGTTCGCGCATGTGCCCTATCCAAAATTAAATACCACAGAACTTACAGTGTGTGTATCGTTGAGATACACAAAACTAGAACTGTCACGAATAAGAATCATGCTCACTTTCAACCGCGCCACTCAGTAGATGGTAATAACATTCTCAAATTCCGAGTTAAATAACGATCATATCAATAAACATTTGAATACACTTCAAAATATAACAATCAAAAAAGAAAAGAAAAAACGCATTGCAATCCGAATAATACCTAGGCAATCTACTCTGAATGGGGACGTATCAATAGATTTATTTTTGTGGTTGTACATGTACTGGTTGTATTTTTAGTAAAACCTTTCACTGAACATTTTTACTAAAAGTACATTCTTGTACACGGCGCATCCAAAAACTACCTGTTGCAATTCGATCATGGGCGCTGTGATTTATTACCGAAAAGTGAGAATAGTCAGACTACTGGATATTTTAGCATTACACTTGTGACAATACTCGGGGGCTCTTTTGGGTTAATAATGATGATTACATCACGAGGGGCAGTAAAATCAAAAATAATTTGGTATACAGCTCCTACAATATGTAAATGATTATCCCTGAGCACTTTCACACAAATTTATTCGATAGTTCGATATCTGGATTACCTGATAATTACATCTGATATATCTGTTTGAAATCTGTTTTTCTATTAACCAGCTGTCGCACCCATACGACCGACAACTCTCAAAAGTCGAAACTTGTGCGAGCTAAGGACTAACGAGGTCTTACCTTTTAACGTGTGATTCCTAACACGTTAAAAGCTAACACATGTTTAAACTAACTAATCCGAATCCAATTTAAAATTAGGATTTTAAGGTTTATAACTTCCACAGAAAGTATTCTCGTTTTGAATCATTCTGTTGTACGAGATAAAATACGAATACAATATCAGAACTTGAAATATTTCTGGTGAAGTGGTAATATAAGTCACAACAAAATTTCTCTTTACAATGATTTCACAAGCGAAAAGTCAGTCTAATGGCGGTAAATTACATGAAAAATTTTAGACCAGTGCTGCCAACGTGATGACCTGAAACAAAATTCCGCTACACTACTTCATATTCCGTTACGCTTGTATATCTACGCAAATCAGTTCGCGCATGTGCCCTATCCAAAATTAAATACCACAGAACTTACAGTGTGTGTATCGTTGAGATACACAAAACTAGAACTGTCACGAATAAGAATCATGCTCACTTTCAACCGCGCCACTCAGTAGATGGTAATAACATTCTCAAATTCCGAGTTAAATAACGATCATATCAATAAACATTTGAATACACTTCAAAATATAACAATCAAAAAAGAAAAGAAAAAACGCATTGCAATCCGAATAATACCTAGGCAATCTACTCTGAATGGGGACGTATCAATAGATTTATTTTTGTGGTTGTACATGTATTGGTTGTATTTTTAGTAAAACCTTTCACTGAACATTTTTACTAAAAGTACATTCTTGTACACGGCGCATCCAAAAACTACCTGTTGCAATTCGATCATGGGCACTGTGATTTATTACCAAAAAGTGGGGATACTCGGACTACTGGTTCTTTCAGCATTATACTTGTGTTACATTACCTTTGGTATTTTGAATTATCATATTATTGGAGTTGCGTGACCTACACAAATGATGCAGAAACGATTTGGTTCCATTAGAAAAATATTATTTTGAATTGGTTGGTTTTGTGAAATAAATAATCAACTACCTAAAACAACACAGTGCATTCACATAAAAATAGTTTTACATATACATGTTTCAGGCGTTTAATGATATTTGACATATATGTAAAGTTAGGGAGAAGACTGTAATATTATTGAAAACTTTCACTAAAACTTTCACTTTTAGTGTTGTGGTCATACAACACTCGATTATGTGTAATCCACAAATCAAACTGTCGATTATCGACAGTTCTTTCCTGCGTTCGTTATTTCATAGCCTTTGATAATGTTCACCGCAGTAGTGGACGAAACGTCAGACCACGGACAACAAATCCGAAAAATAGTTTTGACGCAGTTATTTCGGCCGTGAATGTTTACTGCACACTCTACTGTATTTAAGTTTGACTTCTGTGAGATCTTTTCTTCTGATAGCGTGTATCCATTTTTGGCGTCTCCTTTTTGAAAGTTCGTTCAAGTCCTCTCTATGTGCAAAATGTAATTCACTAGGTATTTTGTAAAAGTTCACCCGATCACGATTCCCACGACTTCCGCAATTTACAACACAACACGTTGTAGGCATGATTTTATGTTATGTATGACGATTGATATGTAAAATCAGCCTCAAACAACGAATTTCAGCAAGCAGCAACACAATCACTCACAAAGACGAATTGATTATGAACTTTTCTGGTTTTCTTTCCTTTAGAACAAACATGTGTGCCTACAGGCGACCATTTTGATTTAATTTTGACAGCATCTCGAACAGGTCTACAGCGACCTCGAGTAACAAAAGACAATAGAGAGGCCTTTCCCATCCTTATATTGAAGGCAGCATAACTTTGTTTACGGAAAGTAAGTTGGACCATAAAACAGTGGCGGTCGGTTTAGTTGATAACCGGAAGGATATTATATATTTATAAAATAAATCATTTCAGGTGAAAATGTATTCTGTTCAAATAGTTCCTACAGAAAATCTGATTTATTTTTAATGATTATGGAAATGGGGCCAGTTTTTCTATCACCTACTAGATTTTCATTTATGTATAGCTTTATAATAAAGCGTGCGGTTAACTGATGGGTTAAAATTGAATTATTCCAAATGAACTAATTCATAACAATGATAAATGTTAATTTCAAAAGTAATGAACTTTGCTTCATAAAATCAGATGAAGAAATTTGTGATTTATTCTCAAATTTGATAAACAAGCGGTACGGTTTATGAGGTCGGATATAAAGAATTTTCGATTAGAAATCATTGAGGTTTGATATTATTCTGTGATTTTATTCAAAATTGGTATCTAGGGTTCCTTGTGGACCGACATTATGAAAGGGGATATTTTTTATGTATGTAATGATCGTTTTTTGATATTATTCTTATAAATGAAGTTTTTGAAACTAGGTTTACATTATTTAATTATTTGACATATCCCTACCAGAAAGAGGTTAAAAAAATGACAACCGTCATTTCTTATTGAATATTGTCTGTATGCAACTCGAAAGCCTCGTGCAAAGAAAAAAAAACCAAAACGGAGATCATATTCTTTGTGTGACGTAAGTTAGTTGTTAAGTGAGCAATAACATATAACACCGGCACCGGTTGCACAAGAATAACTACTTAGTAAGTATACAAACTGAACATTGAGCAGGAAGCTTTTTAATATGTTGATCACAGAATGGGTATGACCTATGGCACACATATAAAAAAACATATTTTCCATTTTTGAAGTACATTTTTTCTTTTAATTTAAATAATTGAAATAATAATGTAAATCATCATCACGAATTATTGAAAAACAAACATAATGTCGGTGCACAAAGATTATACCGTTGGAATTACGTGCAGATAATGTACCGTAAGATTGTTTATCTAAATAGTTCTAAATGAAAGTCCGCGATAGCATATATCTACCTCTTATGTGGTAGCCACTATATGCAAATTACTGAGCCATAAATACGATTGAATTGAATATTTTTTTTAAAATGCACATTCTAGAATATCTGTCAAATTCTTATAAAAATTTATACAATTGTCGTTTTGAGTATTCTATATAGGTAAACTTTGTCTTTTACACAAAGTAATTTGGACGAATCCTTTAAAAGTTATCACGATAAGATTATCTTGACGCAACGCAGGGAGTCATTACGCGTCGCGCCTACTCGCGCCTACTGTAAGACGACGGGGGACTATCCGCGGGGGTAGAGAGGCAGTCTAAGCAATGAAGCACCATCGCTGAGAACGCCACCCGAACACAGGCAGACGCGTGAGGGCAGTTAGTATATTTTTTTAGTTACTATATTTTCAAAGTAAAAATATACGTTACTTACTAGCTGTTGCCCGCTCTTATAGTAACGTACAGCCGAAGCTACTGAACCTAGTATCTTGAAATATTCAGGTAGGTTCTTTGTATAGCGTAAATAAGCATCAAGAAAGGGAATCAAGAATTTCCACCCCCAAGGGGAAAAATAGGGGTTCGAAGATTGTATTCAATTTCGTCAGTTTTGAAGTTAGAAACCTGAAGTTTTGGTTTGATAAAAAAATATGTATTGTAACTATTTGTTTAAAATGGCATGTCATGAAACTTGATGTAACGAATTAAATTCTACGCAGGCATCAAGTAGTTTAGGATAAGGCTCGAATCTTTGTATATATATAGACTCTATATACAAAGCTTGAATATACCATATCCCTATTGGAGTATTGTTTATTTCATATCATTAAAATTCTGAACGATGAAAACAGCATGCAAACAAAACACAATACACTTTTACCTGGTAGGTAACAGAAGCGGATGTATATATAACTAATAACTTCAATGACTGTCGAGAACCTACCTGTTGTTTTCATTATAAAGTATTGAATTTTCAATTTATTATTATACATCTGGAAACACTACAACCAACTCGTTACTTTTAACAGAATCTGCTGCAAAATAACACATCAAAAGTAGTTTGACGTACATAGCTGATGTAGGTACTGTTGCTAAACAAATGAATATATGAACTTCACTACGTATTTCACTTGTTTAATATTGTTGAACACTCTTGAACCATTGTAATGTAAAACACATGTCTCACGTGTTGTAGTTTTGTAAACTATACAGTGAAAATCTCAAAATAAAGTGTTACTTAAATATATATATCCTTTTCATTCAATTATTCATCGTCAGTTTTCCGATAATAACATTTTCCATCCTGACATTTTTTTGTTGAAATTATGAATCATTTCCAAGACAACCTTTCTGTGAAAAATTGATTTTAGTTCATCCAAATAACTTCTTTCTTTCTTTTAGGTATAAAACCTACTATTTTAGTTTCCAAATATAACGCTTCTACATTGGAAGATCGACCCAGTTTGGCGGCAGAAACGCAGTTGATGGATGACGGTACTGGAAGTTTGACCATCTGGAGGATAAAACAAACTAATATCGTCGAAATATCGAAAGAGCGTCACGGGTACTTTTTCTCTGGAGATTGTTACATTATTTTATACACTTATCAAGCTTTAGCAGAACAAAAGCATTTACTTTACAGTTGGTTGGTAAGTACATAGGAAACAGAAATTCTACATATTTAGGTAACAAATAGTGTTTTATTCCTTGTTTTCCGACCCATCTGAAAATTGCTGAATTATTCACTTCTATTTTCATTACACTCGATAACATGTTCATTTCTTCTTCTTAGGGTTCTCATGCAACTCAGGAGGAAATAAATATTACCACTCTTAAGTTAAATGAAATCGATGATGAGTTAGGCCAACTAGGATTTCAAGCTCGTATAATTGAAGGGAGAGAAACAGCTCACTTTTTACAGTTATTTAAAGGAAAGTTGACTATTTTCAAAGGAAAAGGAACAGATTACGATGGTTAGTAAAAATGTGTTGTTGATTTAGAAAGTATGCGTCTTCTCTGTATCTGTAGAGTAGGGAGGATGAGTGTAGACCCACAGCACTTAGGCCACATGTGACCCATTGTACATCCTCCCGAGGAGTTGTTCTTCTAGGTCATCGTCCATTCCGCCTTTCCAGGAAGGTGAATAGGATACATCTCCTTTATATCGGCAGGTGAAGGCCAAGACTCGCCGAGCACACACTCTCTTTGGCAACCTTAAGGTGTCTCACGGCGGCCTTTGTGAAGGTTTTGGAAGGTGCAGCGACATTACTGTTGTTGCGCGGCTTCTTCAACCTTCTTGGGGTTCCCTCCGTGAAGGTGCTCAGGTAAGGGCGCTTTCCTGCAGGGGCAGCCGGTTCCTTGCCTTTATTCAAAGAGGAGCTCTTGGCGCTCGCCGCAGGAAGTGCCCTTGCTGTTGGAGGTGAAGTGGGGGAGGAGGAGCAGGCTGCCACTCCTGCCGCTTTCGCTCTTTTCCTCCTTTTGGCCTCGGCGCCTTTTGGCCTCGGTGCGCTTACGCCTTGTATTTGTTTCATTCATGTTTGTTCTCAAGAGTAGCAGGGAAAGAGTTGGTCACTCTCGAAGAGCCCCACTTTACCAGAGGAAGGCTGATTTCAATGAGGTTTCGCCCGGTTCCCCAAGGGGATCGTTCGTAACTGCATATCACCCTGCGGCCATTCAGCTGTCGACACGATTCCTTACACCTTAGCTTGGGAAGGCTGGTCTACGGTGGCATGTTTTGCAAAGGCTTTTGGGGAGGTTTGATTCCCTTCACCTTACTTATTTCTGCCACTGACCAGGTGTCCGGCGATCCCGTCCGTAAGGCCACATTGGCTTCCCGGGCAGGGCTCCGAGTCCCCTGGCCGTTTCCCTACCCGCCACCTGGGGACGCGCCCGATAGGTAGCCCAACCCATGGGCAAGTATGCGTCATATTACTTAGGTTTGAATTGATTTGTGGGTACGTCAAAAGCTTTTTTTCTGTTGTAATTATACTTTTTTCTAATTTTAAGATTCTGGTAAAAATTTGAAAATGCCATCCCAGTACCTTCTACATGTTTTTGGTTCTACAACTTATAGCAGTAAAGCTATTCAGGTTAGCGTTAAAGCTTCGTCTTTGAACTCAAACTATTGCTTTGTACTGAAAAGATCCAAGAGAGCTTATATCTGGTCTGGATCCTACTCGACTGGAGACCAGAGAGAGATGGCAAAAGGATTTGCGGGAAAGGATTTTGAACTTATTTTAGAAGGTGAGTTCATGTGGTTCTGCTAATTCATTTATACAAATGTGATTAAAAATCCTTATCTATATTTTTAATCTTTTCAATTCAATCAATTTGCAGGAAAAGAAAAGGAAGACTTTTTCAATTTATTAGGTGGTAAATTGTTGTACTTTACCCAAATGATGAAAAATGACCAGGACCTGAGACCACCTCGTTTGTTCCATTGTTGCTCATCAAATGGGAATTTCAATGGTAATGAAATGAATATTTTCTCAGTTTAAGTTACTGTATTCCAAAAGGCAATAGTACGTACATAGTGTCTATTTCTCCTGATATAAGTTCCTTTGTATTTCCGATGCATTAGGGGCATTGCAACATTTTTGTCACTAATCTGAACTATGAAAGCCTTAAGAGTTAAAAGCGAATTTGTTTCATTTATTCAATTTAATAATATCATGCAAGAAACCACTAAGAAACTTGGTGTTTAAAATTTTCAATAGCTTGGACAGATAGGATGCTATAGCAATATTTACTATTTTTAGATTGTTTCAGAAGGTTTGTCCGTTTCTATGAGTCTACTGTAAACTGTACTATCTCAATGAATACTTATTCAATTTAATCGAAATCAGCACCATTTGAAACAGTGCTCTTTTGTCAACGTAACACAAGTCGATTAATACTGAGATTCGATGAAGTCAACGAAGACCGTTTTTGCCTGTTCCTGATTGGCGAAGGTTGTACCGGTGAGAGAGTTGTCGAAGTGCTTGTCGGTTGATGAGAGGTTTAGAGAGTATGGTGGGTGAGGCAGAATTTCGACGCTCAGTTCATTTAATTTTCGGACGGTGATTTGTAAAACGTGCGGACAGGTTTTGTCGTGGAGCAGGATCGGACTCTTCAGTGCCGGCTGCTGCTGACACAACACATTTTGTCAATTTCCTCAGAATAGGACTCTGCTGTTTGGCCCGGTTGCAGAAAGTTATAGTGAACCACATTAGCCGCTAACCACCATACAGCCTTTTTTGGTGGGTTTTAGCCTTTAAGAAGTTGGACAAGGATGAGCCGGTGTACAATCACTGTCCTGAACATTTCCTGTTATCTTAGAGGATACACTTTTCATCACACCTGACGATCCGACCCAAAAAAAGAATCTTTTTGGTTGCGCAAAATGAGCAAACAGGACAATTTCTGTCGGTTGTTCAAATCGAGGGGCACCCATTTTTCGAGCTTCTTCACCTTTCCAATACGTTTCAAACCATCAAAAACCGCATGTAAGCTGACGCCCAGTTTTTCCGCCGTCTCATGCACCGTTTGTGATGGGTCAGTCTCCATCAAAGTCCTCAAACCCTCGTCCTGAATCACCGTAGGTCGACCACTTTGGGGCTCATCTTCGAGGCTAAAATCTCCGGAACGAAATTTCGCCAACCACCATCGAACAGAGCGTTCATTAACACTTTAATTACCAAATGCCTGAATAATTTTTTTGGTCTGTTCCGGCAGTGCTTTGGTTCAATTTGAATTCGTAGAGAAAACATGGCCGTAAATCGCCTAACGACATCATATAGCTGAAAAGAGACAAAAAATAAAAACTCAGCTTTTCAACGAAGCCGATTAATTTGTGTGGTGAGTGATCTTTCAGGAGAGATGATAAGAGTACGGCTCTGCCGATCTCTAAAAACCTGATTCGGTCCCCAGCGGGGCAGGAACAAAGTATGTGCTCTGCTGTTTCATCATTTTCCAAACAAAGGAATGTATGGAGTACAAAATTCTCTATCGATTAGTATATACCACGGCGTAGTATAACAAATATTTATTAAGATATGGAGTTACAAAAATACATGACATACTTGCAACTGCTATTTTTTATTAAATACATGTAAACTTTTAGCACACATAAAGAATCATTTGAAAGAATTTATATCAAGAGTTGAATTCAATGCCACTGACAATCCCATTTGTCAAGATCATTTTTTAAAAATGAAAAGAATTTACTGACACATTTTTAAATTTCATCTGGTTATACTGCCTCCCCTTCATGTAATCTTGATTCTTTCTCAGTTTATATTCCAGTTCGTCAAATGTTATAGGTACCAATGAGTCCGGACATTTTCGTCAAAAAATATATTCTTATTTCTGTACTAGTTTTTTGAAATAATGGGATTATAATCTGTAGAACTTGGTCATATATTTTGTTATGTTTTCAGCTGAAGAGATTATGTTCTTTGGTCAAAAAGACCTAGTTCCAGAGCATGTAATGCTCTTGGATACCAACGATTCACTTTATGTGTGGATTGGAAAGTTGTGTTCAAGAGAAGAAAAGCGTTTGAGTGCTCAGATTGCCATTGAATATTTGCAAACAGGTGAGTCATCTCATATTTAACAACAAACTCCATTTACCAATTTTTTTGTTTATAGATCCAACAGACAGAGACATGAATATAGCAATTATTCACATAAAACAAGAAAAAGAACCTCCCACTTTCACAGGGTTTTTCCCAACATGGGACAAACAATTTTGGAAGGTGAATATATGGATTTATTACTGGTTAGGTTAGAAATATGAATTTAAAATCATAAACCATGGATATGCCATTTATTTAAAAAATCAGTTCTTAATGTTAAAAATATCAACGTTTTTCAAAAATACTTTGGTGGTACTTTGGCGATCAGTCTCAATGCATTTCCCTGATTCCATATATTACCTTAGGTTATATTGGTCCAACATTATGAAATCAAAAACGTTCCAATTATTAATGCAATTGAATGTGAATAGTTTCATTTACCATTTTTGTGAGGAAAGAATTTGAAACTGATCAAGAAAATTTGTATTTTCAGCACTACAAGACCTTCTCAAAGGTTAGACAGGAAGTAGAAATGAGAAATTCCTGCTCCAATGGAAAAGAAACAAATGGAATATCAAATCATGACAAATCCTACCACAGTGATTTTGATCAGTACGATAAATACCCAGTGGATATTCTAAAAGGACCAAATGACAAGTTACCCACCAGAATCAATCCTCTTAACAAAGAGGTAAGAGATGCGGATTACGTTAATATTTCATATTATTATATTTAATGATTACAAGAACATTCATACTATCGAAAAAAGTGTCAATTATGTGACCGCAAGATTGAAATATGACCTCTTGTGGTCTGATTATTTGTAAAACCTGACTCTACTGTACCTAGCTGGAGACAAGTGTTGGGTGTCACTGACTAAGTTATGGGAGCGTTTACTGCCGCCCACAAGCAGGTGTTTGTAAACTTTTGGATTTGGCGTCTGTATGTTTCTGCGCACTCTCTCCAGGCAGCTGAGACATACAAGATGATGGGGAGTAGTATGGTCTTGATCAGGAGCAGTTTCGCTTCGAGATCCAGGTTACTCCTGCGTCCGATGATGGGGTAGAAGTTGTGTCGAGCGTCTTTCGCCATCCTTAATCTCTGTCGGATATGGGACCTGAATGATAGTTAAGGGTGACTTCCAGTTTTGTCCACGAAATCTCCTGTCCGTTGAAGACGACGTGTCCTTCCGGATGTACCTTCCTTAAGGTGGATAGTATCGTCTGATTCTTGTCAGGGTTAATACTAATCTGGAGTTTTTCAACTAAACTCCAGACATCACCAGAAGATGGCAAATGAGACTTTGCCGAAACGTTGTGAAAATTATCCTTATGAGGATAAAATACACAGAACGCAGCGAAACCCGGGAAAACAGCTCGTCATACTTTGTCCGAGAGAATCTTCGAGATGGACTTTTGGCCTATCATCAGAATGGTGCAGCCAAGTGCAAGGATAATGGGCAACACGTAGTTGTCAAAAGAGCTTCAAAAGCACGGAGCCATCAGTAGAAGCCAGCCGCATATTCGTGGTTTCAGTTGTTTCATCTTTTGTTTACAAGAATACTATCAACATCACCACGTAGGCGCAGCTATAGCTACCTGCGTGACATCCGGATCCAGGAAATATGTTTAAAATATGTTTTTCCGTTTACCAGCTATCGCACTCCTACGAACGACAACCCTCAGAAGTCGACACTTGTGCGAGCTAAGGACCAACCAGGTCTTACCTTTTAACGTGTGATTCCCAACACGAGATATACAGATATAAAGATTATATTATAAAGAAGTGTCTTGATATGAATAAAAGAGATAATTTATCAAACATAGCACTCAAGCCTGAAACGCATGTATATGATTTGTCACTTTCTTGAGAAAAAGACGTTTTTCTTGAAATGGTTGAAATTAATAAGTCTTCTGATTGAATGAATAAGAAAACTGACATTGATAATCTCAGCAGAATATACAGTAAGTTACTGGAAAAAGGCGTTTTTCTTGAAACGGTTAAAATTAAAAAGTCTTCTGATTGGATGACTGACATTAATAATCTTAGCAGTAAACTACACCAGAAAACATAATAAAAATGGAAATGGTATCAATCAACTCTCTCTTTAGAGTCAAAGATTATCAAATATGTCCCTTGAAAAATGACATTTATGTGACATTTGTCAAACCAAAATAATCCTATACATGTTGTTTAACTTTCTTTCGCCAATTTATATGTTCAATTTGTTTTCAATCAGCTGTCAAGCTGCTGGAAAATAATTCCATGAAAATCATATTCAAAAAACAACAATACTAGAAACAACAAATGCAATGAAAACTGGTCTGGGGGTTGATACAACAAGATCTTTCAACAATATTGTCAGGTTGACAGTAAATATCAATGAGCAACTGTTTTCCATGGTGATTTCAGGGCACCGCATGATTCAATGAAACTGATGTAATTCAATCCCTTCAAATGATTTCAGACAATTCAGCAAGTAGGTTAAATAATCTAAATTCTACCCGTCAACAGTTGTTTCGATGTTGCAATGAGTATGAAGATTAATTTTGTTTCGGATGGTAAAATGTTTCCTCGATATTTTGATAAAGCACCCCGCACATTTCTTATGAGAAATGGCTTGCCTTGAATTTTGCCGAAATTTTGATATGTTGTAGTTCTTGATGTGCTGATTGAAAGTGTCCACAGCCAAAGCTCAGAATTGTACAGTTTTCGAGATGTGAACCTTTGAACATAGTTTTTTTCCATTTTTTGCAGTTTTTGCTCATCAATAGGGAGCTCTCACTTCTGGTTGGGATAGAATTTGGATGTTCAGCAACCAGAATTAGTTTTACGCATAATCTTCTTCAGTTATAATTGATGCCGCCATCGATAATTTTTCATACACTCCTTCACACTTCACACTATCTTGATAATCTGAGAATGTGGTGCTGTCACATTTTCCTCAGATAGGCTCAAAATGGATGATAGCATCTCAAAGCATCTGTATCTTTCATACCTGAGAGTACTCTCCAGATAGAATGAAGGGGTTCAGGTATTGGAAGCGAACTATTTTGCGCCGTAATATGTTTTACCTAAAAATGGGGTGTTCCATCGCGAGTGGCGGACAGCGTATATCACTTTGGCCAACCCCATTCAGGTGGTAGGTGCATTTTGAGAATTTCCAACAGTCCTGAGAGTTTCCTCGTTCCACCTCGAATATTACGGAAGATAAGGGGATGTTTCCATAAGAAGTGAGACAAATTCGGATTTTTCAGGACTGAAATTTTTTCAGGAAAAAAGTGTATCCATACTAAGTTGATAGTCCTGATCACGAATCTGAAGGAATTTTGAGCCTATTTTGCCCCTTAATATGTTTTACCGTAAAAATGGGGTGTTCCATCGCGAGTGGCGGACAGAGTATATCACTTTGGCCAACCCCTGAGAGTTTCATCGTTCTACCTCGAATATTACGGAAGATACGGGGGTGTTTCCATGAGAAGTGAGACATACTGTATGTAGTTTTTTTTTAATTATATTTTCATTTACAGCTGTACTTAACCCATGATGACTTTGTGTCGATATTCAGCATGTCATACAAAGAGTTTGAAAAACTCCCTAGATGGAAGCAACAAGAAATGAAGAAGAAAGTAGGTTTATTTTGAAACTCTTTTCAGCCTGAGAAGCTCTACTGTACAGAGATTTTATTTCAACATATTTAATATTTATATAACATATTAAGATAGATGAATCATCGGTGATGTTTGAAATGTCATAATATTTAGTACTTTTATTTGAATCAATCGTACCAAATACTTGTTTTTTAAATAAATTATTTTCAATATAACTTGTTTTATTTTCATAAGTTTGAAACATGACAATAAACAGTCTTTAGAATCTAGGTAAATAATTTTCAGAAAATTTGTTGATGAATCAATACGTTTGCTTGTTTGAACTGATTTTTACAAGACCGTGACCTACATATCTTATTCGTTTTCGGAAATCTTCCTCAAGTTTCCAGCCAATGTAACAACTAACAGCTAATAACGCCGAAAATCAGAGGTTGTCATATTACGTCAAAGACGTCTATAGACATTATTTTTCGCAAATGTGTTAAAGATGTGAATGTCAACGATTGTTTTGATATGTGGCTAATATAATTGAATGAAATAAACTAATATTTTAAAAAACCTTATGATTGTAGCCCATAAATGTATTACACGTCGACTTTAAAATTTAAATATGGCATCGTATAGAGTTTAAAAATTTGCCATTTTTCGTTTAACTGTACTGTAAACTTATGATGTACTGTTTGGAACCTTTGGTGTAGTAATGAATATTACTGGAGTTTTTTCCCAACACCAATAAAAATGAGATTTCACAAGCTGCTTTACCTGGCTTGAAAAAAAAGGTAATCATAAATAAATATATAAGTCATTTTGATTTTTCAAATAGTACCTAATTACTTTGTACAAGTTAAAAACCAACAACAAAACTATACACAAATGAAATAAGCTTAGGAATGTTTCAATAAATTTAATGCAGGGCCAGTCGCATAAACACTGTATGAAACAATATTTGAACACAGAAATATGAAAGAAAGTAGTTTACAAGTGAAGGAATTGTAATTTCTGAAAGTGTTTCATTAGTTATGATCACAAATATATAACTTAATGTTTAGTTACTTTCTTTGAGAATATTGTTAATGTGAAATGAGAATATCCATAAATGAGGAGTTCTGTGAATAGGCAATGATACAGTAATTATAAAAATTGGTAGGAGGTGACAAATGAGTTTAGTCAGAATCTGTGTAATCGGAAATCTTGGATTTGTCCTGTCCAATCAAATTGGGACCTCTTTTGTAAAAAAAAATTCTGGCTTTTTACTTCCTCAATTGATATACTAAAACTGTAGAACTTGCCAAGAAGGGAAAAAAATAATAATAGAAATTTCTAACAAATACAAGTTGGACACTAGTTTTCTAAATCCTCATCTGTACAGTTTGGATATTTCTGAACTACAAATTACTCAAATTCTTGTAAAATTTTATGACCAATTATACTCTATTGAAAAGACTAAAGGAATTATTCTGAACAACAATGTAATTTAGAATATGAGAATGAAAACTAATGTTTTAATTCCTGTTTTTATTTCCCATTTATTACAGGGATATAACTTAGTTCTTTTAAAATAAACGAGTTTTTAGGTATGTGTGTAACCTAAAGTAATTTTGAATGCTGCCACTTTTCACAAATAATATATTGTTTAAAAACGTCTCACATTATCCACTGGACATAACGTGGAATGATATACTGACTGTTAAATGTGAATCACATATTAATATTGATTCAACTTATATAGAGATTAAAAGAGCATTACGACCACAGCATTGAGCATACTCCAAATTGTGAGCAGTTTTTGGTCATTTTGGAGAACATTTTTAAAATATATAAGTAAAAGTGATTCTAAATGCTCAAATAATAGTTTGGTAGTTTCAATTTCAATAAGTAATATTAGAATTAACCAACTGACATTTATCACACTTGCTTGATATTTTTAATGAAATATTCTGTAGTGATATTACAGAAAGCTTGAATCCCACCTCTTGTAACAATATTATTAGAAATAATATTGTTAAAGTTGAAATGTTGAGTTCAACCTTTATCTCATTTCTCAAGTAGACAAAGAATAACAATATAACAAATAAAGTAACTAATTCAAAGACGTTCTATAGTCCCATTTCGATATTTATGTTTAGCTCAGCTGTGGTTGTAGGTCAGATTTAGAATCCTTCTAAAATCGATACATCTCCAAATCATGGATTAAGATCCGAGTGCCTTATTGAAAATAGACTATATAAACATCTAACAATATCATTTTGATACAAACTTGCAACGAGAGAAGGTATCACAGATTGTATCAAATAAATTAGTGATGAGATGAAGCGTTTGCAATGAATTTAGCGAAGAAATGCTAAAGTTACTTTACGACGATGTCATTTGCTGCTCATAGAGGAATTAGCTGGTAGAGTGGCAGACCGCTGTTGGGCATTCAAATATGGCTTCAGATTAGAACGAGTCGATTCCCTGTTAATGAAACATATAGTGTTAAATGACGGATTTAGGATATATACAGGTTGGCTCACATAAGTGCTTTGTGATTGATTCTCATGTCAAAAAACAATTATTATATTATTGTTAATGGATTGTATTAGACTCTACTCACCAAGTTTATGAGTTTTGAAGAAACAATTATAATAATCCAAACCTTAATAAAAAAAAAAGGAAATTTGAAGTATTGGAAATTACAGAGAAACTATACACTTGAAAAGATTTTAATTTCGATATTGACGATGTATGAATGAAATGTAATAATAATAATAAAAGATTGATATACATTTATGTATCGAAGAGTGTAAACTTTAACAGTCCGAGATAACTATGTCAAAGCTATTTTCGGGTTTGTTGGCCGTGGTCTGCAGGTTTTTATGCCTGACGTTTCATCTACGTCTGCGGTAGAAATTATCGAAGGCAATGGACTGAAAGAAAGTTTTTGGCTTTCTACTACTTACTCCATCTTGATTAAAAAAAAAGGGATGAGGAAATCTTCCAAAGAAAGGAAGGAAGTAATCAAATTGATTACTTATATCATGAAGTCAAGAAATCTTAAATAATTATTCTGAATCACTTCAATTATATGTTTGCAAATTTCATATTTTCGGACCCTATACATCTACGGATATATCACTCTGCTGTAGATGTAGGCAAAGTACAGTGTTTTGAGAACATTGGTGAAAGAGAAGTTTTTACATGTTCTCATGACAAAACCCAACATTCTTACTTTTGGTTTCTACAGATTCAATGTGGGGAATTGAGTAATTTTTCTAGCGAATACAACCCAAAGAGCTTTGGCTTCATTACAATGTTGAATAGTAATATTCACATTACAAGTGAATGATATGAAACAACAAACAACATCAAATCTATCTAGATCATCTTGAATACATATATGTAGTCCTCAAAATTTGTTACTTTAGAAAATATTCCAATATCATCTGCAAAATACATCTGCATGAACCAATTTGATAAAAAGAAGAACCCCCAAATGGGAACCCTGACGTACTCCCGAACTTACTAGATAAAGTTTAGTCATATGTGATCGACATTGACATCAAATGTTCTTGGAAATAGAAAAAACTTATTGCAATTCTTTATAGCTTTTTGGATTTTTACATACAATTTATAATTACATTTTCTGAAACTTCTTGAAACCAAACACATTTCCCAACTGAAACAATTGATTTATCATTGATTATGCATTGTTTTGAGGCTGATTCTAATCCGTTAAATGCAACCAAAAATTTTTTTTGGGTGCCATCGGCATCGACTACATTGGTCATTACCATTATCATAAAGTTAATTACAACTTTGTAGTTGAATACATTTTAGCTTGCAAGTATGTTAATAATTTTCACTAGAAAGATATATAGTTCAAAAATATTTTTTTATATACATTCTCAACTTATATTTAAATTTAGATCTAAACAGAAAAATTATGCATATCATGTTAAACAAAACATTAGTTAATAGATATAGGATATATTATACTGGACTCTGGTTTCAATAAGGTATTAACTGTTCATAAAACGATGTTATTTAATCAATTGGACTAGCTAATGATAGAATTAACGTAGACTCATTGTTTTCTGTTGAAAATAGATTTTCAAAATATAGCTGCCTATTGCAACTTCAGGCCTTTAACGCAGTTTTTCCCTATGTACCTCCCACTTTTCCTCAAGCCGGACTATTAACATGACTTACATACTACATAGCAAATTTTCAAGTATTACTTTATATTGAAATTTATAATTCAGAACTTGGCATTTTATCAAATGTTGTCAACAAACAATAACCAACAAATGATGTTTTTGAAAGAAATATTTGTCATGACAAAGTAAAAACCTTACGTATTAAGAATGATATCTAATTTTCCTGATTTTGAAACATATTTAAAGAGTATAATCAACATTTATAAAATATCCCACATGATGTTATGCATAAAGGGAATATGTTGACGACATCACTCTATCCTTTGTTGACATGTACCCTTTCTGGATATGTCAATTCATTTATTGTATGTGACTGAATTAGAAAAAATCATAGTCAGACAGAAAAAGATTCGCAAACAAAAATTGTGATACATTTTTGAGAAATTGAAAGGTATGCCACATAAAATCGATTTTGATATTTTCATGTTACCATATAATTATTGACAGATTTATCAAAGTTTGATCATACATAATGGTGCTATAATGGAATACGGTATAATTATTAATGTGTTTAGAAGTTATATTAAAATAAATTGAAGCAATTGAAGCTCATGCAATATCAAATAAATAATACTTACTGCACATGAAAATCAAGAATACTGTGGATTTTAGAGAACTTGGTTCAGATATATTCAAAAAAGAAAATAAACCAAATAAGCTAACATTATTACACCAATCAAATCTAATTTTTCACTACATTTTTCTAAAGGAAATTAATTTCAATTCTTCTATGTAAAGTAGATATATTGTATGTAAATTAGGTTGTAAGATATTTCTCACAGTGGATTTTTGAAATAAAATATTTTTAATGCAACTCTTGAAAAAAAATGCATATTCATTATCGTTAACTATAAATCATTTTTATTCATATTGCAAAAAATACACTGAAAGTTCTCAGCCTCTGAAACAAAATCGAGGTTAACACCCATTTTATAGAAACTTTTGTCTTTGAAAATTTCAAAGGAAACTATACAAAAAGAATAGTGAATTGAATACCTAGCACTTTTTGAATATCTTACATCCCATAACCTGAATTAATCTACAAACTACAGAATATCTCTACTTCACTCAATATAGAATACACCACCACTTCTGAAAGCCATGCTAAGTCCGTGCTGCCTAGCAACCTTAGTAATGGTCCCTTATCAGTATGGAATAAGTTCTGAAAACCAAATTTCATCAACTTACTTCCCTTGATTAATTATACTCACCAGAACAAAAAATGTGATGACATATTTCAAGAAACAATTAAACTAAAAACTGTGCAGTATATATAAAATGTCCAAGTTATGGTACAATTAGAGATAAAACGGATATCCGACCGAATACCGGGTAACCAGCGCCTATCCGACCAAAATACCGGATTTAAAAAAATATATTTTTAGGTAATTAATTTGTTTATTCAGTTAGTAGTAGGTAGGTCTAAAGTGAGTGGGTCTATTCGACCCTCCACCGCAACCCATAAGGGTTTATTGTGGCTCACACCTATTCACACTCGGCCAAATAAACCCAGCTTCTTAACGAATCCGATTAGTTTGTAAAAGTACGGCTCTGCCAAACTCTAAAAACCTGATTTGGTCCCCAGCAGGTCAGGCACCAAATATGTCTTTCAGATCAGATGGTGAGAGTACGGATCTGCCGAACTCCAAGAACCTGATTCGGTCCCCAGAGAGGCAGGCACAAAGTATATGCTCTGCAATTTAATCATTTTCCAGACAAAGGAGACACACACTGTCTTCCGACAGTCCAAGTCTCTGCATGTGATAATTCAAATGACAGTGACCTGTAAGAAGGCCTGTTAGACATCGTATCATCCCTACTGTAGTCCAACAACTGTTTGGAATCAAGCTTCGAAGGGTGAATAAACGCCTTGGAGTGAGCCAATCCTGGAAGATTCTGCCAGAAGTCCATAACTCTTTTTGCCATCCAGGTGTTCAGTGTTTGTTTGGCAAAGCCCAAATCGATGACAATGACAAGTTCTGGTCCAATGAAGCTGCTTGCAACACCCTCCTTTGCAAGAGAGTCAGTAGCTTCATTGCTTTCCAGGCCAGTATGGCCAGGAATCTAGACCAGAAGCAATCTGTTAAGTTTTCCTATCGAGGAGAGTCTTTTTTTGGCAGTTCGCTACCGATTTAGACGTTGACTGTCCGAGAATATTTTTATTGACTTGTGAGTGAGGTTAGATTTATCCAATCTCTCTGCACACAATTCAATAGCGTAAATTTCCGCTTAAAATACAGTCGCATAAGTTCCTATGCAGGTAGATAACTCTGTCCTGGGTCTGCGACTGAAAACACCTGCACCAGAACCGGAAGGTGTTTTTGATCCATCTGTGAACCAACAACTATCTGCTCTTAATATTTCCTTCTCTCGCAGGATCCAGTCCTTTCTACTTGGGAATAGTACTTTATAAGGCAGTTCGTAGTTGACAGTTGGAGGCATAAAGTCAGAGGTCATTTCCAGAATTCTGTGACAGACGTGGTGAGTTTTCCCTTCACTGCTAGTTTGTGTTCATCTTTGCGAATGTTGATTCGCCTGTTGGTCTATCCAATGTAAGTCTTGTCACAGTCTTTACATGGTACTTCGTAAACTCCTTGGGACTCTAGTGGTATCTGATCCTTTGGTAGAATGTCAGTCAAATGAAGGAAAGGTTGCATTCATAGAAGCACTGTCAAGTAGTTCAAACAACATGCAATACATTTAGATAAGAAAACAAACTTACTCATTAAATTAAATAATTGTTAGAAAGTGAATGAAAATTATTGAAGGGAGAGTTCGAAATGTCCACCATTTTGTAAAATGCACTTTGCGGTTCTGGAACTCAAACTTTCTATACATTTTCTTATTTCTCAATCTGTGAGGAATCACTATTGTCGGATTTGTCATTTGTTCCGTTGAAACAAATTAAAGAATCAAAATGTTTTTTCAAGATCATTACGATATAGTTTTTGTAAAGCCTGGTATTCAAATCTAAATTGATAGATTTGATAGGTAGTGTTGATAGATTCCTCTATACAACTTGATATTGTCTTTGTAAAACTAAGGTACTATTATTAGTTTCATGGAAAATATTCAACATATACACATTCAATATTTAACAATAAAACATCAAATAATATTTTAACAAAACATTTGTGCTCTACAGAGGGTCTGTTCTGGGACCCCTGTGATTCATTCTATATACACACACACACACATATATAACTATTTGCAGATGACACATTGATTTATGTAACAGAAAATTCGGTGGATGAAATG